AAATCTTAGTTATATTGATGTTAGGGACGATGTTGCACATGGTGATAGCCTAAATAATTACTACATTCCTTTAAAACAAAACACCATTATAAACTTAAAACTCTTCAAGGTTGTCTAATTTTTATTTAAACTGGTGTGATATTTGTACAGTATCACTTTTTATTTCTTTATACATTTTCCACGTTTTTAGGTTGTCAGATATCAATGCTTCCGTCATTTTCCTGTTTTAGTATATGTAGGTTTATGTGATCTGTTCCCAAAAAAGAAAAATCACCTTATTATGAGCTTCCCACCAAAACCAACGCTAATGTCACGAACTGTTTTGATCACTCCCTCTAGAGTTACTGTAACTCCAAAAATCTCCAGATGCTCTGGCATGTCGAGCTCTCCCTTTGAGTACAACAACAAACCCCACATCAATCGTGGGTTTGATGGTGGTAGACCGATTCGCATCACCTACATGAAATAAAAAATAGGAACCCTTTGTTATGAAATAAACTGTTCTTTTTATTACTAATACTGTAAGTAAACAATTGGAGATTGTATTTATTTATGTTGGAATTCATTCTGCTAGTTTAACAATTGTACATTAATGGTAGGAGTCTGAATTGTCTTATTAACTTTTAAATTACCATGTTGAACAATTCAATTACGGCTGTAAGTTATAGGTAACAAATAAATGCAATAACAAATCTGCTTATTGAAACATCTCAGCTCGGAATAGTATTATTTAACAATGTTCACATTCACCTGTAGTGGTCCTATATGTACCATGCCTGTAGAATCTCCTTTGCTCTCTATAATATTTATAGTCTGCGTATCGTCTTCTGTATGTTTGTAGAGTGCAAGGTGTGCACCCCCCTTGACATCAAGTACAGCAAATTCATACTCTAATGCTTCTCTAGGTGGCAGAATCCATGTACGACCAGTATCACGGCCAGAGTGGTCTCCAATGACACCTGGATAATTTATATCTCCATCAAGTGGTGAGCCTATAAATTCATTGTCAACAACCATGCGATTTTCTTCGGTTTTAGCATTACTTAGGACAACTGTTCCTGCACCACCTGGTTCCAAAAAACTGGAGCCTCCCCGGATTCTGAAAATGCCGGTAAATTTATCGATATATAAATTAATTGATATGCGACCACCAGCTCCCCCTCCTCCCCTTTTTGCTTGTGACGAATAAGCTACCACCGATCCCCCAGTTGCTGATATTTCACCCTGTCCATCCAACTTGTTGGTATGGATCAAAACGGTTCCACCACTTCCTCCACCGCACGATGCACATGTTGTGTTATCTGCATTAGACAGCACGCTACCATCAATCTTGATCACGTTTGATACTAGATTTATTATACCGCCACCAGAACCTCCATTCGAGTTTCCGCTGCTACCACCAGCACGTCCAAATTGATCTGGGTTAAAAATGTCATCTCTCGGTTCACCAGCAACATTTAGTCCAGTTCCTCGACCACCGCTGCCTCCATGACCACCACCAGAGGCTCCTACAATTTAAATTAATATACACTAGTTCTAATTTATTATTACCAAATGCAATTACATATTTTTAAAAAATCAAAACTAGAAAATATTCTGAAAATTGCTGGTACAGGGTACATATAAGTACGAGAAGTAGTCTAGGGTTTAATATGCAAAAGGTACTGACCTTGGCTACTCGACAATGAGTCACTGGCAGTGTAAGGACTTTTTCCGGTTGTGTCAATAATTCCCGCTGGGTCGATATCGATCTCGTTTGTTGCATTGATTTTAACCCAATTACCCTATGAAGTATACAAGCACCACACTGCATTACTGAAATGCGCAAGCTATTAAGATATATGCATGGGAATGTTTGAATAAATTTAATTAATACATATATACAATAGCAATAACAAAAACAATAACAAAAGCAAAACAATTATAACATTAATTTAACAATAGTCCAATTTTTTTTAAAAATAGTAATAGTAATAACAATAATAGATACAATATTAATTATATAAAGCAATATTAACAATACAGTGCTTCGTTTCATGGACATAATGAAGTGACTTAAATGTATCACCTCAATACGTCCACCAGGATGGATCTGCAAAGACTCCTCCAGACTGATGTCTAGTGAAGGGAAACGATTCTCATCCTCCTCTTCATTTTGAAACTCCTTTGATGATGCGTAAAATGAAGATACCACTCCATCACTTAGAATATCAAGATGTGTAAGAGCAAATTGCTTGTCAATCAAACCAGATGATTTTCCCTACAAATAAAATCAATGTTTACAATTTAAGATACAGTGTATAGCTATACTGTAGAGTACTACAGTGTTATGTCATGATACCATGTGATACTACTATGTGTTCAACACAACGCCATTTTCACCACTAACAAACCATTGATCCCATTTTCTAATGTAATTATTAAGATGACATGTCTTACTTTTTCTTCGTAAATTTTAAATGATGATTAAATGTGTGTTCGATAATTAATATAATGCGAGTTTTTGTGTTTTTAGTTTTTAGCATTTTGATTTGATTTAAAATGCCTATTCCAGAAAGACTATGCAGTCATTCAGGTGTAATCGATGGTAGCCTCCGTCTGTTGAGAACATGACATGACTGTGGTACTCTTTACATACAACGTATTTTCGACCTTGGCAGAACTGACGGATATACAGAAATTAAACTAGGATTAACGAGGCAACGTAAAATATAGTTGTAGTTGTTTACAAATGAAAATGAACGATGAGCTCCTCGTGGCAAAAATACTGAACTTTAAAAATCCAAAAAGTCCTAATATAATAAACAAATTATATGGATATTAAAGTTACTTTACTGTATTGAAAAAAAAGTAGCTATTTTTAGTAAAAAAAGCTAAATGCATCAATAGCATTAGTTGTTGATGAGTAAATATTTGTGTTGGTCAGTGATTGACGAATGACGCTTATATTATATCTGAGTGACAATGGAAGCTATTGTTGATACTACATCATCTTATATTATTACATAAAATGAATATTTTTCACTTATTTACAATACCTAATATCTTTTATAAAAATTATATTTTATTGGCTTTAGATATATGGAAATGTTAACACTCACATGTTCCCCTATGATCATGTTGATACCTTGGCCAACTGTTAATTGCTTAACTCCACCCAGTTCTCCTTCGATATAATATGTTGAAAGATCAACATCACCTAGTTGAGTTACTGTATATAGACCAAAAACGGCTTTTAATACTTAAGTTCAACAAAAGGATAAGTTTTTGAGATATACAGTAAGTTTGTAAATTATCTAACAGCAAACAAACAATGAATATAGAATCATATAAAAACACCATTTATCTATATAGAAAAACAAAGTTACTGTATTCTTTACACGCTAGTGTTAATTCATAGGCACGTAAGTGATTCTATTCGTTTTTTCCTAGGTTGGTTAAAATATACTTATATTAAATACTACCTTTTGGTAGTCAGTACAAACCTTTTGGAATGGATAATGAAGAATCCTCGTAAACCCTAAATCCTATAGGAAGTGGTGACATTCCATTGTCTATAGACACAGAAATCATTGGAGCTACGTGCAACATTCCAGAGCCATCTCCTTCAATGTAAGAAACATCAAACAGTTTCTCTTCAAGGCCTCTGTGATCAAAGGCGAGATGTGCTCCATTTCTTAACTGTAGCTTTGCTATATTGTACCTGTCATTCTGTAATAGATGAACAAAATAAAAGAACATTGGTTGTAGAGAAGTAAAAAAAAAAAAAAAAATTGATCAATATAATAAGAAATAATATTGATCAATTATATTTTTTTGTGATAAAGCAATGGACTCTTAGCTAAGCATTACACCTATGATATTCTTGGTGCTACAAAACAAGTGTAAAATATACACAAACACGTGCCTTTGTGGGACAACATAGTGTGTGTGTGTGTGTGTGTGTGTGTGTGTGTGTGTGTGTGTGTGTGTGTGTGTGAGACACGTGCATATTCTTGGCCTCATTTCTGATTGATGTTTAACTGAAACTCTGGAATGTTCCATTATTTTTCATTTATTTGCCATAATTCAATCTGATTACATCAGTTGGACGTAATTTATCACAACAAAGAAATATCTGTTTTACATATAGGCCTAACTTTGAAACCAGATGGAATTTTCAAGCAATAAGAAATAATTTTATTCAATTAGTTTATTGAACTTTAATTGGCATGTGCAATATGCATGTACAATACATGCATATAAATCAAAACATGACCAAGAATGAACAATAGAAAATAATAATCTATGAAGAATTAAACATGAGGAAAATTGAGATTTCAATCAGAAGTCAATATAATATTCGGAATAGCATTAAAATCCAAAAAAATTCCAGAGATACAATATATATAGCTATGCAAGCGATTTTGCAAGTTCGGTAAAAAAATAATATAAGTACGAAAAACAAAATTAAATAGAATGTGAATACACTACCATATCACTATAACCAGTTACTATATAAGCACGAGAACTATCACTTGCGACGTCATAGCCAGAAGAGAGATATGATCTTGTAGGCTTTCTTCCATTGTTGTCAATAGTAAGGATTGTGTCTGATATGTTATTTGAAACGTAAACTGTTCCTGGACCTCCCACCTCTATATCACTACGACCGCCAAATGCCTGGATTGTACCACCAAAGCGATTAAAATCAATAGTGTGTATCGCAACACGACCGCCAGAACCGCCTCCGCCGATTTCCTAATTTAGAAAAAGTTTAGTATAATTATTATAATTGTATGTTAACATGGACATACTGGTAATTAGGATTAATATTTCTAAATGAGATTTTTCTTGATGTTTCAAAACTTTTCAAAAGAAAAGTTGGCTCATAGTACATAGGCCTATTTCTAAATAATTTATTAAATATATTATATATGTATTTAGTAGTATTATATATATTATTATGATGTTAATGCATAACATTTACTGTTTTTCACAATATCGCCACAAACTGTCATTGATAATAATAATGACGATGACGGTTATGAGGTTAATAGTGATGATAATAATAGAAATAATAATCATAAAATACCTTGGAACCCGGTCCTTGTTCGTCGGCACAGTAGTACCCAATACCACCGTAATACCATCTATCATAACAATATGACCCATATGAACAAGGTTTTTCTTTAGTTGCATGGTAACACCTAGTAAGACAATTAGCCGATCTCAGGTACTTCCTATTGTTACACTCTGTACAACGTCGTTCAGAGTTGCATCGGTTACAGTACGGTACACACGTAGCATCCCCACCTATTGCTTGCATAAGACCATTACCTTAAAAACCGACACACAAGAGTAAGTGTTAGTATTAAAGTAGTATATGTATATATGTATATATGTATATATGTATATATGTATATATGTATATATGTATATATGTATATATGTATATATGTATATATGTATATATGTATATATGTATATATGTATATATGTATATATGTATATATGTATATATGTATATATGTATATATGTATATATGTATATATGTATATATGTATATATGTATATATGTATATATGTATATATGTATATATGTATATATGTATATATGTATATATGTATATATGTATATATGTATATATGTATATATGTATATATGTATATATGTATATATGTATATATGTATATATGTATATATGTATATATGTATATATGTATATATGTAAATGTATATATGTATATAAATGTATATATGTATATGTATATATGTATATGTATATATGTATATGTATATATGTATATGTATATATGTATATGTATATATGTATATATGTATATATGTATATATATATATATGTGTATGTGTGTGTGTGTTTATATACACACACAAGATACTTAAATCCCACTACTTGAGTACTACTACCACTACTACTTCTTTTTCTTCTTCCTCCTATTAGGGAGCTTTCGATTGCACGACGACGGTAGGACATAGAACTTAATGACATCACTAAAATTCACCTGCACGTGCAATAATGTTAATGTCATCGAGTAGATTCTGGAATGCAATTTGGCCAAATCTATGTATGCAGAGAACGTAGGACGCCAGGTAGGACGGTCACGCATGAGTGATTCCGTTCGAGCATCGCGTCGTCACACAAATCTCGGATGCTCCCTATAGCCGTTTTCCACTAGGCGAATTTATTCACGAGAATCGAAAGCGCTGGCTTATGTGCATTCACATTTATATCTGAGTTTTGCAAAGCGAAAAAATGCGCAACCAATCAGAGCTCATGAAGTGAACCGACGCTTTGATTCAAGTGAATAAATTCGCCTAATGGAAAACCAGCTTAATAAGAGGCTTTATGATTGGAGTGGATTGTGGTCGTGAGAAATTTTTTTTATTGTGAATTGAACTAAGGATCTTGAAAATTGGAATGCAAGCATCTTAACCACCAAGCTATTCAACGCCACTCCAAAATTACACGTTTTTTTTTATTGTAAATAGTATCTTCCTACAATGTCAGACTCGTAGTTGGTCTTAGAAACAGAAAAATTGAAAATTGTAAGGCAATATAATGGACTTTTCTGTTAAGCCTCGCTCCTCAAATGTTGTTGTTGCTGAGGCCCACAAAACAATAGCGTAAATGTACGAAAACATCAATTTGGGGGACAACATGTGTGTTTGCTGGATTAAGTTTGATTGACACTTCGGAAAGGTCCATTTCAATAAATTACACACTCTGAGCATGCTGAAATAACAATAATCACAGTGTTTACTATCTAACAATCTAAATTCGATTTGGAACCCAGTGTAGCATACATACCAGAAAATGACGCAGTACTAATCCAAATACTTCCTCCACTTGAACCACCTGTTCTGAGAACATCAGCATGCTTCCCATTCGCCAGAATTCGACCATCGATAAGTGTGTGCGCGTGTGCGAACAGTACAGCAACACCACCACCATTGCAAGCATTCTAATCAATGTTAATTCATAAAACAATGTGCATTTATTTACAACTTAAAAAAAAGTGAAAAAATACTTTTTACATTAGCTGCCAATATAAATGATTGTGCGAAGGTAAGATTAGGGAAAAAATGCCTTGGGCCTGTCAGACTGGACGCAATGTCATAAAGTAGTAAAATGTCTTTTACTTGTTTACACAGGATTCAGAAAATAACCGTTCAATCAGAGCAATTATTGAAGTTTTCGGGATAGAAAAATAAATTTGTCATCACATTCACAATGTATTTTTATTTTATTATTGCCTGGACACTTCAGCTGCTGTGAAAACGCGGCGGTTACAAAATATCAAGTCAATATGGGACATTATTCTGTAACCAAGCATGACAGGCCTTAACATTCATTGATGGGGCACCAATACTATTGTCTTTAATTTTGACCAAATGATGCCAAGGGCAAAACTGGGAGAAAGAATCTTCTAACTGCATTTTGTCCTTGAATTGCGTTTTTGAAAGGACAGTAAACACTAAATTATAATGAATTTTCATACATACTCCATTACTGCTACAACCGCTACCAAAGGATGACGGTTCCATGAAGCTTCCATAAGCACGATTGGAGTGGGATACAAACTCACTCATTCCACCCATACCACCATGAGAAGCACCAGTACTTCCAGATGGATTGTAAATTCCAGGTGCATCCCCATCACCTGGGCCCCATCCACCTCCACTGACGTCAAGAAGTGCCTCGTGGTCAATTGTTATGTCATTAGCTTGAGAAGGAAATACAAGTCAGAAGTACACATTATGGAGCATAAACAAATCTAACAATTGCAATTAGATTTTGCACTTACATCAAAAACAAGATTATTAGTTGAAAATAATATAGACTTACATCTAATTTCAATTGACGAAGATGTCAATTCAGCTCCTCCCCTTATCGCAAAACTACCTTCAATGTTCATTTTCATCATGCTTGGTGTTGTGTAGGGTGTTCCAAGATATTCAACAACGCCTCCACTTAGGATTTCAAGTGACCGCAGTTGGATGTTACTTGGCGAATCAGTATTGATCTTCGATAGAGGATGTACTGTTAGAGTTGAATCATACGATATCTCCAAGTCTCTAACACCAATGACGTCACCAGAAAACAGGGTAACATCTACAGTTTGCAGAAAACTGTGTTCGGGTAAAGAAATACTTCCATTCTAAAAAAAAAAAAGAAACAAAGTGTATCATTAAGCCTTTTGTGTATCATGTGAATTGTTATTGCCCCTTCTAAAATAGATGAGCAACATTTTGCTTGTTTATTTTGATACATAAAATTATAGGCTATTACATATATTATTTATAAAGCTTGTTCTCGATTTAAAGCACCTTATACAAAAAAAAAAAAAAATCTTGAAGCGATTGCAATGTTATTATCCCTGATCATTGGAGTCATGAGTTGGCAAACCGGAACAACATGTAACCTTCTCTCCAATTCCCAATACCTAGTCAATTAGGCCTATACAAGTGAATATTGCACGCCCACTGCATTCAATGCCACAACACCCTGCCGGGTAGTACCTGGTTCGATGGCACAAGCAAAATGCATGGCGTAAATTTGATACACCGGTTGACGGAATGTACCAAACTGTGAAAACCCTCACTTGCAGTAGTAAGCCTATACGCATCAAGACATTCTATTATTTATGTTTTCAGTGAATAAGGAGTTAACTTTTTGACTCTCTTAATGAAATAATAAAAAAGTAAACTTCCCTTTAAAGCATGTATCTTACCTCATACACCATGACATTGAAGGGTATAAAAGCTGATGCATTAGAAGCTATCGTGAGCCTATCGGATTCGCCGCAGTGAACAGTGCCTGTATAGTCGCCCTTTATATCAGCTATGTTGATATTTCTTTCTGGTGGGTTGGCTTTGATTGGAGAACCACTATCGTCAACAGCCTCTAATTCTAAATGTGCGTAACCCCCAAGATCCAATAAATCGATGTCATGATCTGGATCGTACACCTCTGGCAAAGTGACCCATGTGCGACGAGCCTTTGAAATCAATACAATTATATACATTCATAACATCAGTCAAGTCCCAAGTACGATTTGCAGTAGACAAATATTGTTTGATGTTTAATAACATTACATACATTTTTACAATTAAAAGCTCGCGAAAAATTTAATAAGGTCATACATGTGTGTTAACATCACATAATCGTCAAGATCAATGTTCAGTTTTACCTGGTTCTTGGCGGAACGGAAATGATTATACACCATCAACGTCTTATGAATTACGTCACCGGTATTCTTAAGGTAGATCGTACCTGCTGCTCCATGTTCAAAGTCACCGACCCCACCTTCGGCTACGAATGATCCATCAAAATCATTTTCTTCATAGTGCAACGCCATGCGACCACCACCACCGCCACCACCACCACCATCTCCTCCATTGGTCTATATCAAATATAATGGTTTACTTGACATTTTATTTAATAACATTAATCATTAACATATATACTAATTTGAGTAAGGAAGAAATGTCTGCACAAATCTGGAAGTATACACAAATCAATCATGATGTTGGTAGTCTATGAGTGAGATACTTACCTGGATAAACCGACTAATTGCCATTGTTCCCAAACGGAACACCACTTCGAAATAAATGGAACAGTCTGTCCCATGGTGCCACGTATGAACCGTCTCCCTAACAAATGTCCTCATTCCCTTTTCGACCTTCGTTGGAAAGTGAACTCCTTCAGAGTGCTCAATCATAGAGTGGTTCCACGTGTTAGCATGTTCGTGTTCGCTACTGCGATAAGGATTTTCAGCCTTGCGGTTTATTTTCAAGAAATTTTTCGATCCACGAAATAGACATATATCGTAGCACCATCCTTTTAGGTGTCTTACCATTCAAAACAAAATTATTGGCTTGTATTTGTTTTTTTTTTTAATTTAAAAACATTTGTCTTTTATTTGCAAAGGCTTTCTAAAATTATAGTTAAACTTTAGCAATCAGTTATTAATACCTCATAATATAATTTTGTATATGACATTACATATTTGACTGATTATCAGAACATTTAGCAAAAGCCTCGCAAAAGGGAGCCCAAAGTGGCCATTTGTGAGTAATAATAACTATAAATGTTGCATAACATCATCGGTAAAGGTATGAGTATTACATCATGTATAGTAAGCTTGCCAAAACCTTGTCCCTATATATAATGATACTAACCTCTAATTTTCCAGAACCTTCCAATTTCTTTGCAATAACCAGAATACTTCCTCCACTCCCTCCTCCGCCATTTCCAGAGGATGCATCCTGTCCATTGACACTGACTGTTCCCTCAATTTGTAAAGCGGAAGTTACGTTCATCGAAATTATGCCTCCTCCACTACACTGGACATTTGGATCACCACCACCACCGCTACCAAACTCGACTGGTGCTGTAAATGAACCATATGCTGATGGTGAAAGTTGATTGGAGTTCTGACAACCTCCACTACCACCATGAGTGCCACCGCTTCCATAAGATCCATATTTATAACCGCCACCACGTCCCCCATACCTGTCTCTTATACACATCTAGATGTGTATAAGAGACAGATATATATATATATATATATATGTATTCGACAGACTACGTTGTATACCTCCAACTGGAAATCCTTCAAAGTCTGCTGAAATGCGTCCTTTAGTATCAACAATCACATGACCAACCTCCAAGTGAAGATTAATTGAGGAGAGAGTTCCGCCTCCATAAACCTTTTAAAGAAGCAGTTACAAAAAATATGGATTAGAAATAAATACACTTTGCCACGTTTTCTTTGAATTGTTACATTACATAATTTATTATAATATTTAATGACATCTAGGCTTTAATTACTGTAATCCAGTCACAGACAATCCTCCCATTTAATACTGCAATACCTTAAAAATAGCTTTACAAATCTTTGATGATATCAATATTAATACCAAGATCAAATTTAATAATCAAATTATAAATATCAATAATATTAATTATCAATATCAGTACAAATATCAATACCAATATTCATTGTAGTTTTAGGATTTTATATCTGTATTTGAATTGTTTTGAAAGAGGGCCTCTTCAAGTCAGCGTTGCTGTTTGAGCCACCTTCTCAAAATATTGTTGAATAAATAATTAAAGAGTAATAGTAAACAACAATTATTAATATAACAACTTTGAGATCAACTAGCAATTATATATCTATATATATTAATTATCTCTGGGTTGATTACCACTGAGCACTCTGCTGATGATATTTCCAACTCATTCAGCATATATCACTTCAATGTATTTTTTTTGTTTTCTAAATACACTGGCACATTTTTATTAAAAACAATTCTTTTGGAACATGCTTTTGTGATACAATTGCTACCGATTCGCTAATATCATTATTTTTACCTGGATATAGTTGCCTCTGAGTGTTCTGCGGTCCCGACCATTTTTAGTGATCAGGTTTCCATTATTTCTAATATGAATAACGTTGAAATCGAGTGTTTCAGTGTGTGTGCCATCGAGCATAACCATCTCATGCATGTAAACAGTTCCTAGAAAAAAAAAATTTAAGATATTTCACAATACTAAAAATATGACTGGTTAAATTTTTAGGTTATCATAGATTTAAATATAATTACTATAACCTACAGTATGACTAAAACCAATATAACTTATAATATTGCTGGTAATCATGACTAATTAGAGGTTACTGTTGTACCCACTGTAAACACAATCGTATTACTTACTATTATTAATAATCATTTTTTGCTTTAAACTCTACTAATTTTAATACTGAGTTTGTTTAAACAACAGCAGCAAATATCCAAATCCAGAAAGAATGTTGCAATAAAAATTATTTGATTTGAAATATGGTGTTGCATTGACATACTACTCATCAATAGGCTTACCTCCGTCACTGACAGTGATGTTTTCAGCATTTTCTAAAACCCCTTCCACATTGATCGTCACACCTGCCGCTTCAAGTTCTCCTTGTAGTGTAGCCACACCTCCGCGGTACACATCAACATTCATTGGTAGGAAAGCATTTGCCATGTACAAGGATTGGTTGAAGCCAATGTTCAGACGTCCAGTGCGATCTCCTCTAGCGGTACCAATTCTGATATCCATGAATCCAGATGGATTCTGCGGATCAATGAATGCCACCTGTGCCGCACCATACACGTGGAGCTCATCTATAATGATGTCTTCAGTAAAGTTATGACTCCAATCATTCCTTGACAAATCCAATTCTGATCTTTCAACTGGGATCAACCACGTGATCGCGGCTGCTAAGGAATAATCAGAGTAGTTGTCTGTTAAATTCTTCGCTTTTGCTCTTGGCTTACGACCAAGGTTGTTGATATACAGCGTCCTGTTAGTAAGTGGCTCTGTCACATTTGAGTCGTGAGTTATCTGACCCTCTTTGCTGGTTGCATCTAGTAAACGTGAACCATTCATTACTTGAAGTTTATGAAGATAAACAGTACCAGGTCCACCTGTTTCATACCCATGTTCTCCACCTGCAGCTATGAAATCACCTAAAATGTAAAAAATTAAATGGTTAAATAGATTTATTGGAGTGTTTTTTTTTGGATAAACTAATTCTTTGGGCTACTCAACAGTAATATTAATTAATTAATTTTACAATTTTTTTTCCTTCTCAATAAAATCTTAATGCACTAAATGCATCTTTTTCATCGTGATGTAAAAATGAAATAAAATTCAACATGTCTGACAAATTAAATGAACATTCATATAAAATTTACATCAACCATGCCTTAGTTTAAGGAGTAGGTTTTTTTAGTTTCATAAAATAACTTCAACTTTCTTTTTTTTTTTAAATGTCCAACTCAAAAACCTCAATCACCAAGCGCATAGAGGCTTTTTCGCATGATGCGCTCTACAAATCCAACTATTATTATTATTTTATTATTATTAAGTATTTGCTTATCATACCAATAAAATGATTATTTCCATAATATATTGCAATCCTTCCACCGGCTCCACCTCCGCCATATTGACCATGTCCATCCCCGCCAGAGGCATCTACAATTCCATCTCCATGGAGAACTGCTGCTTCAATCCATACACTTCCACCGCTACCGCCACCACTGCGCGGAGATCTCCAAGCATCACCTAGTATGAAATCAGTACACCACTTTTAGTAGGCGTACGTAGCTAAAATTGTCGTTCATTAGTAGCCCTAGTATATTGTAAACATGGGTGATCATATATTTTTATTGTTAATTGTCGAAGAACATAGTTTTCAATTAAACGTCAATAAATTTCTTTAAAATTGAACAATTCACATGAATACTTTTTTTTCAAGTTTAATAGCTCAAATAGAATCATATCGTTAATGCCAAAAGAGAAATTTGGTAAGTACGCCCGTGTCCTACAAACTTTAAGTAAAAAAGGAGAACCTGTTGCATCTATCAATCCATCAATAACAATTGTATCAGTGACGTTGACGTAGATTCTTCCAGCTCCAAAGCCACCGCGATATGGAAATTTACAATAGCCGCCGTCGGAACCAATATCATTCGGTGTCAGAAACGAGCCATGTGTGATACCGACTCTTGGTTGGACTTCACTTTGGCCACCATTACTGCCGTAGCCTGCTCCTGAACCACTGCAGCTACTACCTGAGGATCCCACACCAGATCCCAATCCATTTCCTTGAAGAATGATATTAAAATGAACAGCAATACTGTTAATACGATTTTTAGGATATACCATACTGTGCCTTTTGGTGTCAGACGAGAAGTCGTAATATGCTTCATTTAAGTATTCAAGAGAATTGTTTTGTGGATTTAATTGGTAGGCATATTACCTTATTTTTGTAATTTTTGTAGATTGTACATTGTTAAACACACTTTTAAACAAATAACTTTTAAGCTTTTGAGGTGCAAAGCAATACTATACAAATAATGAATTTTTATGAGCGCAATGGGAAGGATATTTTCATGTGTTGAAAGAATGACTTTCCGTTCAATGAGGCAGAGTCGACTGGAATGGAACAGTCAATCTTCCAACGAATGAAAATATTCTTTCCATTGCTCGAATAAAAAACATTCATTATTTATTTTATAACACACCTAAAATAGATTCTTGTCATTTGATATATATTTTTTTTAAATCTACCTTTTTTTCTTAATGGATATTCTTATCAGTTGATATTTTATGAAATAAATCTAAAATTTTTCTAAATAGAACAGTCCTACATCTTTTTAACCAATCAAAATACTGTACTAGGATGAAGTCATATGTTTCCTAGGCACCATGCAATGGGCAAAAACGGATGGAAAGAAAGTGAATTGATGATTATAAATATCCATGGTGAGTGACGAAATGGGGTAAATAGCCAATGCCATGTGATACGAAATCCACTATTCAAATGACAGGGATCTATTTAGGTGTGTAATAATAAAAAATGAATATATGCATACCATGAGCACGTATCAACTTCTGTGTTACAGAATTTCGTTTCGTTGTTACAAGAGCTGCTGGCTCAATACTGACGTTGGTAAAATGCAGGCTGAGGTCACTAGATAACAACTAAAAGGATACGAAACATAACATTAGTAATGTAGCATGGATTATAGTGATTTCATAGAGTCTGAAATTGATGAGGAACAAAATGGCAGATGACTAAATCATGTCGTCAATCAAACAATCACAATGATTTGCAATCATTCGTTCGCCCATCCATCCATGTCCCTACAGCCCAAGAAACCAGATGTTTGGTTTCGTTACATTGATGATATCTTCATGATCTGGACCCATGGTGAAGATAGTTTGGATGCGTTCCTATTGAACATTAATTCGGCTCATCTAACAATCAAATTCACTGCTAACAAATCCACAAGCAGTGTAGATTTTTCGGACATCACCGTGACCATGGAAAATGGTGCACTTAAAACTGATCTCTTCCGTAATCCCACGGATAAGCATATGTACCTGCTCCCTAGAAGCTGTCACCCCCCGCACTGTACAAAAAACATTCCGTACAGCCAAGCATTGCGCATGAGACGCATTTGTTCTTCGGATTTAGATTTTCAGAATCGAACAGAAGAACTATCCGGACATCTCCGGAATAAATCAATAATCCTCTTCTGATCCCATTGCTCTCTGTTGCCTGGTGTCTTATTTATTGTTTCTTATTTGTTTCATGTACCTTTTTGTTTTGTATTATTGTACTGTACTCAGAAGGCCTCTTCTAGTCAGCTTTGTGCTGTAAGAGTTACCCTCTTAAAATATAATATAATAAATAATAAATTATCGTATGGAACACTTAAGCAGAAGGCAATGATGAAGTGTACAGTAAATCAAAGCTACCTATACCTGTCTCTTATACACATCTAGATGTGTATAAGAGACAGTATATATATCATTGAAACAAAAAAAATATGACAAGGCATGTACACTACAGAACACTGTTTTCCAAAACTTTCGGCCAGTCCTATGGCCTCAGGTTTACAGAGTGCACAAGATTGGCTGTTGGAAGTTGTAACTGCACATAAGCAATACAATTGTGATGTAGATGGATTAAAAGCCAATTATCTAATAGTTTATTCTGTAATATACAATAGTGTAATCCCACAGAGAACAAAGCGGTCAAGTATTGAGATAGTGGTGAGAGAGAATAAACAATCCTTAATTAAGCATACATAGTAGAATAATATGGTGGGAAGCGGACTTAGTTAAGTCCGCTTCCCACCATAATTATTATTCTACTAAGTAAATTGCCAAACAAGCACATAAAACCATGTTTTTTTTTCGTTTTTTACAAAAAAATAAATATTGGTCATTAATCGAAGATAACTAAGATCATGATATAGGTCTAAATAAGCCTGTGTACATACCTTAGCACCGCTACGAATGTTCAGCGTTGTGCCTGTAATCAATGTCTCACCATAACTATTATGATTAATATAGAGATCACCAAAAGTTTTAACATCAAGGTGATTGATGTTAAATCGAATGTCATGTTCATGTTCTAAAGTTACTTGGCATTCAGTGCTGATAGTAAGTCGTTCCACATCATGAAGTCCTCCTGAATGGAATAAATATTAACAGACATATATATGTATATTGAAAAAAAAAGGGACTGATTAATCAACTTAATGTACAATGATTAACAACCCTTTCCAAATCAAGGGTTATAGACTACTACATTATTATGTCACAATGCCACGTGGTACTACTCCGTTGCAATCGGCGACACAAAATGTGTTCAACAGCCACCATTTTCTCCACTGACAAACCATTGATCCCAATTTCTAACGTAATTATTAAGAAGTTGTATCTTAATTTTTCTTTGTAAATGTTAATTGATGATTAAATGTGTGTTCGATAACTAATATAATGCAAGCTTTTTGTGTTTTTTAGTACATTTTGATGGTAAATTAAAATGCCTATTCCAGAAAGCAAATTCTAAACCATTAAGATTATGAAGGCATTCAGGCATAATTGAACAGTAACCAACGTCCAGAGGGCGCCACCTGGTGTTGTGACGACACAACTGTGGAACTGTATAGGATATAATATGCTACATGAAAAAGTGTCACATGCACATGAACGCATAATTATAAATTTACCCACTTCCCCAAAAGTTATATTTTGATTAAGTAAATATTAACATGGCTAGTTTACAATAAACTACATAGGACTTATTAACTTACCATGAATGATTAAGTCAACTCTCTTGCAATCAAGTACTGTAGGTAGAGTAATATCAGAATCAGGGTATGTAAGTATCGAAAATGGAAGTAAGGCTCGTTCCATAGTTGCTTCAAAAATCTGGGAGTTCCGAATCGTCAACCAACCATGTGCATCGCCCTTGATGGAATGTACTCTTAAACTTGATGTATTAGAAGTAACTCCGAGTGATCCTCCTCCGCGAATTTCAATCTAAAAATAAAACCATCCAAATATTTTGCAACAGCTGTTTACTCATAATTCAATACTTACCAAATGAATGTAATCTTTGTTTATATAACAGCTTGTTGTGGTCACGAATTTGTCATGCAGGTAATATGATTCTGTACATTGCGTTATTTATACGATGCTTATAATAGTTTTAACTACATTGGCTTACTTGATCATACATCAATAGCATGGATCCATGTAGTGTCGAGGCTTGTTCATAAAGATCCAGGGTGCAGCAAGGTATTTCAAAGTGGCAGACACACTTCTTAAAGTTACAGTGTTGGAAGTGACTTACCATAGCATATAGTGTACATTTCTGACAATGTGTACATTCTAGTTGACGTTCTTTAAGGCAGTGGTTCCTAACCTTTTTGTGTTCGCGGACCCTTCTGGTCATGGCAAAATCTTCACAGACCCCTATGACCAAATATTACTCATTGTCCATATCCCAAAAATAAGATTAGGCCTACAGATAGAAGATGATTCGCAACAAAATTACAACATTAAACAGTGGCGAACCCTGGAATTCGAAATGGAAACCACCTCAGCCCCACCAAGGTTGGGGCTGAGGTACAAAATATTTTAAGTCTATGCCACTTTTAGATGGCTGGAAACGGCACTGTCTGACTCAAATTTTTTTATCCCCATCTCCCATTTAATTTTTAATGTGTAAAATTCAGGGTGACTCGTGGTTGATACTCCGCCCATAAGATTATGGATAGGAAATGATTCGCCAAATTACGAATATCTTAGATTTTGGAATTTGGAGGGGTACAGACAGTATTTTTTTATTTACGCTACCTCAATCCCACCCTGGTTGGGGCTAAGTAGGAAATTTCTATGTTTATGGCACTTGTAGACGGCCCGAAATCACAGTCAGACTCAAAAATTTTGAATGTAATATTCTGTTATCTGCCATTTACTTTTAATTTGGTCAAATTTAGGGATCCCTCCTTATTTTTAAAAATTTATTTAATAGCCAGGAAAAAGCAATACAAGAGAAACAAGATGTGTATTACCCAAGGATTGCCACTATCAAGTGGCTCTCCTATACTAAACATCTTTAAAAAATTAATAAAAAACCTAATTTAAAAGATTCTATCTGATGACCAATAAAATATTGGAATTAAAATATAATGCCAATTAAAACAATTGATAGTGAACGAAATCATGCCTGTCAAAGGTATTTAATAATTGACAAGGCATGATCACACTATTAAGGCATGATTACACTGATGTAAAGACAAGAAATCATAAAAAATTATTCTAATAATCTAGCAGACCTCAATTATTTTTCGCGGAACCCAGTTTGGGAACCACTGCTTTGAGGCATACATAACTTTAATTCAACCAAGTGATTGTTTGATTCGTTATGTTTAATCATGTTACCTCTTCAAACTCAAAATTGTGCATTTCCTCCTCTTCAGCAACGATGACAGATTCTGATAATGATGTATACGACATTTGGTTGGATTCCTCAGGTGATTCTTTAATCCAGATGGTTAATTCATTGAGATATACCATATGAGGTGAAGAAAGGTCCACTTTTATCTATAAAAAAAAAATAAAATAAAACCCATTAAAAAAATAATGTATATTGTCATTTTGGTAAATGTGTAAATTATAACTATTAAAAAGAATATGATGATAACCATTATTAAAATGGTAATAAGTAGGCCTATTATTAATTTTTTTTTTTTGGGGGGGGGGGACAAAATGCAGGATTCTTGTATCTATAATATATACATTATATAGTATATTCGTAGCACACATAAAAGTATTTTGGTAGAAATATTCCACAAAAAAAAAACCTCCACATGTACTGTTAATATTTTTAAATTTCATTAAAATTGTATATTTGCAATATATATGAAATCATTTCCAAAGTGGATTATAAAGATGACAACTGTTAAAACACATTAAAATTGACCCATTTAATACTATTGTTATTTTATGATGAAGATCCATCTATCCAGGATGTTAATTATATAAAATTCTTAAGCATTATAAAGATTAAATAATTTGAGATCATTGACAAGAAGGTACAGAATATAAGCCTTGAAACGTGTCAAAGGTCATTTCCGGTCATTTAGTTTTTGCAAAATTTTATACTGTATTAAACCACATATATAGTGTCACATTAGAATTTAATATATTATCCTACCAGATGCGTATTGCCTTAATATTTAAATAGTATGATACTTCACTTGAATAACAGTGAATAACAGCTCTTAGTCAATGACAAAAGGTTGTTGCATTGTTGATAAATTTGCATCTGCGTAAATCCGTTGCCCGCCGATCATATAAAATGACGAGTGCGAGAATTTGAATCACTCTTAAATTTACCACCACATGATTGAGTGAACCCACAGGTAATTCTGTGAGGTTCATGAGATGAGCAATATTATATTAAGCTTATCATGGGGCGCAGTGTGCATTGAACGCATGAAACTGTATAAGCCTAGGCCTTAGGTTTTTGTTCAGGATAGAGAATCCAACAAGGCTCATAGCTGAACGTGGTGGAGCTCGTCTATGTTAACCTCTTAACCTCTCTTCAAAAAATCATTTCATTATGGAGCCACTTCTCTCGTTAAGTCTCTCTCCTTCTTTAATGATTCTACTCTCTCATGCTTTAAATTTCAACTAAAATCCTACCTCAAACTTAATCAATAATCCTCTTCTGATCCCATTGCTCTCTGTTGCCTGGTGTCTTATTTATTGTTTCTTATTTGTTTCATGTACCTTTTTGTTTTGTATTATTGTACTGTACTCAGAAGGCCTCTTCTAGTCAGCTTTGTGCTGTAAGAGTTACCCTCTTAAAATATAATATAATAAATAATAAATTATCGTATGGAACACTTAAGCAGAAGGCAATGATGAAGTGTACAGTAAATCAAAGCTACCTATACTCAAGAATGGAAGAGGATACTCAACACATTGAATCGGTGGCATTCACGTGGGAACACAGCAATTGCAATAGGATGTAGAGTATCACGAGAACATTTGTCTTTAGTATAATTCAAACAATGATAATATACTATGATATTATTTATTTGTATTTTTATCTCTATATTTTATCTGCAATTTTTAGCTTAAAATGTTCCTCTATTTTATCAATTCCAATTTCATAATGTAATTTAATCAATTAATTATTCACTTGTTTTGCATTTGTATGTTTTTATATATTTGTTGTATTTTTTGTACCTGCAATTTCAAGCCTAGGATGTTTCTCTTCGCAACATTTTTGTAAATTATATTTATATGTATTGTATTTAAGGCATCCTGGAATTGGCTTTTTGTTGTTGGATGATGTTCGAAATAAAATAAAATAAATTATACTGGTAGTTATTATTAATAATTGCTATGGAGATATAGAGGACAAAATCATTCAGATTGTGGTCACAATTTTCCAGATTAATTCATTAACTATTGTTGAGTAATGTTATCCGAGATATATTTGTTGATTATACGTATATGTTGCTATTGAATGATCCATGTTATATTTTATGTTTGTATTGTTTATTGTTAAAAAAGAAGAAATAAATATTTATTTATTGTTGAATTTAAAAGTTGTAATTTGTTTGTTGTGTACTTGCGCTGGACAGACATTAGACCTTTGATCCAAATTGTTTATCTGACTTTCCTATTTGTGCATTTAATAGGCGACATATAGAAACATGAATGCTCAGAACAGATTGACAACTCTCTACAACCAGCGACTGCGATAATATTTAAGTAGAATTTTCTGGACCCCAGAGTGCACACAGTACAAAACCTGGTCTAGTAGGCTAGCTAACAGAGAAAATGAGCTGAATACATAACCTTCTTGGCAGAGGTTACAAATATAAAACAAATCATACAATGATATTTACCGTGTCAATGTATCGATCAATAAATGTCACACCGTACAATTGTCTGCCGTCACCAATATCAGATTGGCAGCCAGTTGTATCAACGAAACCAGGTGTGTGAACCACAGTATCACCTGCGACCAGACTTGAGACTTTGTAAGATGTCGTTCTAAAATAGAATCGTAAATAATAGCAACAAGAAACAAAACCAAGAACAATAACAAAACCAATAATAACTAGACTAATAACTATGCATGTTTTGTACAACCAAACACACTGCTTTTCCTCATTGCTATGAGAAGTGATGTTGAAAAAGTCATTAAAAAGTATAAAGTAAAAAGTACCTGTACACACACAAAAATACTAAATACTATGAAATACTACTGAAGAAAATTAAAAAGTAAAGAAAAGAAATTAACAATGAAATCATCTTTACCACTGTAGTGAGATGCGAACTACATCTGCAATAATGGTAAGAACGAGGTACATGGAGACTCATAACCATTGCGTGTATGAGCCAATCAGTTCATTTTTACTTCATCTACCTTGAGTACTATTCTAGAAAGTTTCATTTAGATATTTATAACTTATTTGAAATATTTAGGTTTAAATGACCTTCAAATTCACACCATATTCTGGATCGTCACTAAAATTCACTGATTTTCTTCCTTGAAATATGGTAAAAGTTTCCAGAAAGTTTCAGTTGATCAGTTTTGTGGATATCTGGTATGGCACGTTTACATATAAATGGTCCTCATATACACACCCTATTTCGGATCGTCACTAAAATTAAATAATTTCTTTTGGACCATGACAAACGATACTGTCAAGTTTGATTTAGATCCATTGCTGAGTCTTTGAGATATTTAGGTCTGGGACGTCACCAAAATTCAGTAATTTCTTCCTTGTAACATGGTTAGACTTATCCAGAAAAATTCATTCAAATCAGTAGATCTGTTTTGGTATATCGAGACATTTCCCTTTGAGTAGTCCTACTCTGGATTGACACCAAAATTTAATAATTTCTGCATTGGACTAGAATGAACTATTGTGAAAAGTTTCACCAATCAATAAGTTTTTTGAGATATTTCGGTCTGGGTCTTTATTTAATTTAATTTAATTTAATTTAATTTATTTATTCAACCACAATTTACATTATAAAAAATGGTTAGGACAATTAAAAAGAAAAGAATCTCTATAACCCATGAAGATCCAACTACCCCTTTTTAATTTAATTAATTTCTTCCTTGTAACTCGGTTAAAATTTCCAAAGTTTCACTTAGATCAGCTGATCAGTTTTTGTTATATCTGGTCTGGGACGTTTCCCTTTGAATGGTCCTCATCCACACCTTACTCTGTATCATCACCAAAATCATTTCTTCTTTGGACCATGACAAACTATTATAGAAAGTTTCATTTAAATCCACTTATTGGTTTTGAAAGGAGATATTTAGTCCTGGGAAGTCAGAAACTGAAATGACCCCAAAATTTAAACCCTACATTGGATCGTCAGCAAAACAATAATTTTTTCCCCTTAACTTGGATAAATTTTCCTGAAAGTTTCAACTGGTGTTGTGTGTTTGCCCTTAAATCCCTTTAATTGGTCCTCACATCCACACCAATCCCGGATTGTCACTAACTTTTATGCGGCACATCTTTGGTATATGGTCTATGTTTGGACAAAGTTTGGAAAGGATCCAAGCATGGAAAATAACCAAAGTGCTGGCAGAAAAACCTTGTGCAAAAAGATAAGAAAATATATGCAAGAAAAAAAAAACAGAACAAAAACAATGGCTTTTCCTGATACTGCTAGGAAAAGCCAATGAAACAGCAACAGCAGCAGCAACGACGACGACGATGATGATAATAATATGACGACGATCGAAAAGTCGAGACATTCCTAAGAAATAACAGTTCTTTATATAACTATCTATGTGGTGTACCGCAAGCATTAAAATTATATTATTACTTCGCCATGCAAACCTCCAAACAATATTTAATAATAATCATAATAACATCTATCTTGCTACAAACAACCAACATCAAATCAACGAATTATTTTTTGTGGAGCGTTATAATTTCATGACAGATGATTTACTTACCTACCGCAGACAGGATCAATTCGTAATGCATGTACATACAGCTTAAATGGCAATTGAATGTTGATGGTAGGAGCGTTATTGTTTGTACAATAGTAAGAACTACTTCCAGAAAAGACGTTTTTAAAATTACATTCATTATTATTATAATAATAATACGGTGTACCGGTAGTAGAGGCAGTTACACCGGAGTATGTTGTATATGTTCTTGAAGTATAACCGATGTTATTTCCTTTCATATTTAAAACTGAATATTTTTCAAATCGAGATGGTTTGTTGGAGTCATTAATCACGCCGTTATCAATAAATAGTTTCCTCTTAAATTGCTCGGGGTTGGATAAATCCTCAAGAAACACAGTTCCTGCACCAGCTTTTACTTTGCCATTGCTAAAGCCACCATAAGATTGATATTCACCATTGAAGTTGTTTTCTCGCTTAGAATATATAGCCATTCGACCACCTGCACCACCACCAGCGGATGAATAGCCTGTATGTAAAAATATTAATTGAGGTAAAACCTGAATATACTGTATTCGAAATCACTAAATTAATTGATTACAAAAATATTGTTGTTATGGTAATGAGTAGGCCTCGATCGAATAGTTTTTATAAGAAATATGCTGGATCCTTGTTTTTATAACATAGCATATTCGTGAAACATATAAATATATTTAACTTAGTTATTCTGGTAGAAATACTCCACTACAACAAAACTTAAGTCTTAATTTCATGTTTTTTGTTAAATACGAAACATTTTATTAATACAGTAATATATATTTAAAATGATAGTATTAAGTTATTTCAAACCTGAGCCACCATTAACCTGTATTATTCCACTTCCATCAAGATGTCCTACATAAGCTAAGATACTTCCACCGGCCCCGCCTCCAGTTTTACCAGATCCATCTCTACCGTTAACATGGAGACTGCCCTCTATTCGCATATCATCAGATATCTCAAGTAGCATTGTGCCTAATAAATCAAATAAATAATTTAAATGTGTGTATTAACATCTGCATAAATAGAAAATAGTTACTATTTTTGTTAGTAATGAAAGATTAATGTTAATGATATGAACCTTACCGCCTCCATTTCCAGCTGTTCCAGAACCTCCATAACCACCTCCACTTCCCATTGTAATTGGTTCGTAAAGTGATCCATAAGCAAATGAGGAGTAAATTCCATTTAATGTTGTACCTCCACGGCCACCGTGTGCACCACCACTACCTGACTCTAGGCTACCTGATTTAGCCATGCCACTACCTGAACCAGCACCAGGAGAATGCCCACCGAAATCAGCATGCATATCACCTGTAAAAATTAATAAACCAAACAAGATAACTCTTCCAGATTTACATGAAAGAAAACAAAATAAACCTGACATTGACAGAAAAAGTACAATGTACATAAATATTCCAACCTGCAACATCAACTGTTAAGTTGGTTGCTATGAGATGCAGTTGATTCGTCCTCACGTAACCACTTCCTTTCACTTGAAAATCTGTCAGATTTAACGTCATCATATTACCACCATCTACAGTCAGAAGCTCAAATTTTCCATTCGCTCGCACTGTCATATTAACTGCATGGAATGTACCGGTTGGTTGGTCTCGAGATCTTCCATATGACCACCAATAAAGTTCTCCACCAGAGTCTACATTGAAATCTTCGATATCTGCAAGAGTTCCATTTATCTCCATCCAGACGTCACGCAAGCTTAGTCTTGGTGGCAGTTCAAATTGACCATATCTAAATTAATTCGTTAAACAAGTTGATATTAAATGCAAATAGACCTATGGTCATGTAAAATTCCTGTAGATTACCAGAAAAAAGTGAGTTAGTATTGCAAGAATTTGCAATAATATGGGTACAAATACATCCCATCCAAAATGAGGATTAAAGGGTATATAACATGCTGTATATATTATCAAGTAAGTCTATTCTAACATCAAGTGGCGCATGCATTCGTGAAGCATCACATGCTGTTGCATTATGATAAAATATAGGTAAATTATTGTACCGTACTCTACCAAGTACAAATATCTTGCTTAAACATATTTTTAGCTTTATATTTGCTTTTATATTGTTGGCTTAGAAAGTTGAATATTGATATTAGGCTTACCTGTACAGGAATACATTGGCAGCAAAATATATGTCAACAAATTTAAATGACACAGTCTGGTTTTGTCCAATGTGAATGACCCCACTTCTGTCACCGTAAAAACCGCCACCACGACATTCTACATTGTCTGATGTTGTGTTGCTAAGGACAGCTACGTGCGAATTTCCGTGCAGATGGAACTATGAGTGAGATAATTCAACATTTATTTTAATTCAGAGTTTATTAATACAATACAATCTTTTAATAATCATCTAAAATAGAGAATGATATCATTCTTACAAAGTACTGTTTGCAAAACAAATTGACAAAATGACAAAAAAGGGTCTAACAAATTTTACATTGTATTTACCTCGTCAAAGTAGTAGTCATTTGAGTTATGCCATAACCACGTAATTCCACCGGCTTTACTGATGTCTTCATATTTTCCATCCAGTAGATGTCGAAGTGGTTCACTTTTGTCAGGAGACTTTGGATAGGGTAGTCCATTATTGTTGATCTTGAGTATTCGATGGATTGGTACTTTACTCTCAAAGTGGTACTTTTGTAAGTAAATTGTTCCAGATCCACCGACTTCAGTATTGCTATTACCTGAAACATTATGAGAAATGTACAGATTTTTAGGATTTCTCTCATGTTGCACGGTTATAAATATCAAATTGTAAAAAATGACAATAAGGAATACAATACATAAAAACGCAAACAATATATAGAGGACTAAGATTTTGAAACTAAAAATCTATAAAAAAAAATAAAAATAAACAAAGTAAACTTGAGTGAATAATAATTTAAACGAACCTCCATGCGCAAAGATAGTTCCATTCCAATTTTTCTTGTCATGGTAACTTACAGCTATCCGGCCTCCCCCGCCGCCGCCACCACCGGCATTAGTATCACCTCCAATCGCAGAAATTATGCCATAACCATCAAATTCCTCACATTCTATCCAAATTGATCCACCTGACCCACCACCTTCAGTATGATATATAGCGAAGAAATGCATTATTATAACAAAATTATATCATCAGTTAATAATTAGGTGATAATTTCTTTGTGTGTTGTGACGATTGTGACAGCCTAGTATGTCTGATTGTTGAGCCGTCGTTACCCTGGTCTGATGTCGAATTATCGGGTAAATTAGATCCTACTGCTGCCACATTTACGATATATATATGTATAACACTTTTATAACAGTGGAACACGTCAGACAATACTTAGCGGTGCGTCCAAGATAAACAAATATAAATAATCAACAAGCAACAAAAAGATTAAATGAAATTCTTAATTAAATAAAAAGAGATTTGTATATTGCTCATACCAAGAACTTACTTGTCATTACTCTCTATAATCTACATCATACAACTCATTTTATTCAACTTAAAATAAGGAGTCGCATGGTGCAAATATAAAGATTATATATTACAATATTGAAATTTTAAATTTGTTCCATTGATGCGTCGATTGGTTGCGTCGAGGTTGTTCTTGCTTGAGTGGCGAAGCACAATAGATAGGAATACAATAAACAACAATATCGAAGCTATAGGCCTATCACTGATAGTTGAGAAAAAGTACCTAATGAGGCTATCGCGAAGACCTTGAATTTGGCTTTCAGTAGGCCCAGAAAAGCATCTATCTCCAAATACTACTATATAGGTTGCATCGACCAATGACAGTATCTAAGTGATTTACTTACATTAGTACATCAGAAATCAAAACCGATCCTACTTTCAGCAAAGTTAAAAGTAGTGTTATTTCCATAGATAATCTTGTTCTTTGTGATCGTCAGTACATAAGAAGTATGTTCTATCAATTGATATTGTGGATTCTATTTTAGGACAGTAACGAAACCTTTATTTACAATCGCTTGAAATTAAGTCTTCTGCCGTTTCGGATATAATAATATCTTCCAACAAATTTTTAAAAGCTCATAAAAAATATACTGTATACATAATTAAACATGTTTTAGACCTAGTAATTCACGGGTTAGTAAGTGATGCAATTTAGTAAAGATACTGTACGATATGGGAACATGATTCAAGCGAGTTCTTTTGAAATAAAGTAACAAGTAAAATATACCAGAATATTGACTGTCAGCATCTTCACCATTCGCTGATATTCTACCATCGAGTATCATGTGACGTGCAGTTGCATGAAGGGCGCCGCCTCCTCGTCCTCCAATATCTCTACGGATATATGCATTTCCATATTGTTCCTCTCCAAAATAGAGTTGTCCTAAAGTTGAACGATGTTAATATTAAAATAGTAAAATGCAAGAAATTGCCTAACTTTTTAGTTACTTAGTATAAACAACATACATAGAAACTTTAAGTTGGATAAAGCGTTAACTTTAAATGACTATTAATAAATTTACGCTTAACAGAATAAAAAATTGCCTGTAAAGTCAAATTGATAATTGTTATGTTGGTGAATTGGTTCAAACATATTGTTTAAAACAATCAATACTACTAAGTGTGATTTCGCCCACTCGATGGGGTTTCAACAAGACGTGTATTCTGTTTCATGTATGTTAAGCTATTGTAGTAGTATTTTGCTCAAGACACCGTTTATATGTACTTTTTGTAATACTGAATTAGTAGGCTGATATTTATTCTAGTGAATACTCCTTCACAAAATCATATGTATAGTTTTTACACCGTTTGTGTTATGCGATCAATGGATTCATCGTGTGAAAAACAAAGCTGTAGTTCTTGTTGTGAACCAGATTTAAAATTGCAAGAAATAGTAACAACGAGGGGGAAGATTTCCTAGATGAGAACAAAGTGGGCATGGTAGAGCGTTGCTTAAAATGTTTCGAAAGTGGTCCGGGGGCGAAGATTTTGACAATTTAAGAGATTCAAAGGCTTATTTAATCGATTTCTACTAATATGTACAAAATACATATAATTTTTTTTCTCCCCAACGAATTGTGGTTTTTCTTGAGCCTGAATCAAGTAATTATTTTGATGAGGAAAAAAGTTACCGTAATTTTGACCATAGCCTCCGTTACTTCCGTAATCAACAGGTTCATATATAGAACCGTACGCCAAGCCAACAGAGGACTGTCCACTCCCTCTTCCACCACTACCGCCATGTCCACCACCGCTCCCTCCCGAGGTAGCACCTAAATAAATTTTTCATCAACATTTGCATTTGAAACGTTCATTCATTCAAAATGTTCATCATATCTGTACTTGAATTAAACTTCAGTCGATAAACGCAAAAAAACAATTATAAACATAATTAAAGTAAATCAATAATATTTTAATATCGATTTTTAAATAGTTCATCTTAAAACTGTTTTTCTTGCATTCTTTCTATTTTTCTATAACCACCAAATTTACTTTCCATTACAAATTATAACACTGAAAATATAATAATAATTTCTACTATTTATATACCATTCATTTGTTCCATTTTTTAAACACAGTGCACCAATGTTCAGATTTCTGCACATACTGGCACTACTCTCTGTTATGTGTCTCAAGTATGACGCATTGTATAAAATTTAATAACAAATAAGAGGTCATGCTGTTAACCTGCCAGCTGGGGACTCTGCTAGGACTGTTCCAGTCAACTGATAATAACCTATTAGTAGAGCTGCGCATAGTACACTATAGGAAAATTATTATACGAAGGTTAGATTTAATGCTTGAAAAAAATTTTTGATGCATTAAATCTAACATAAGTTTAATAATTTTCCGCTAGTGTCTGACGCAAGCAGCTCTACTAATTGCTTTATAAGTCAATCCACCATTTTTTAATGTTAGTTTTGATAATCAATTGTTGTAGCAGTCATCGGTTGTTATAATGGTATGATCAATATTAAATTTCACACATTTTGTTTTCTTTCTTACCATATCCTTGTCCTGGGCCTTCATTTGGGTTAAATCCTAACCCCCTGTTTTCAACAGTCTCATAACCACCATGGTCTAGCGTAATCTTCCCACCGGAGTAGACAGCCATCAAATGTGAAACATTTACAGTAAGACGGTCGTTTGACTTGAAATGGCCTCCTCCATATACCTGGAAATAAGTATATATCACAATATTTTTAGGGGGTGGCCTCACTCGGTATGAAAGACTGAGCCGAGGTGCGAAGCACC